TACTCGCCTCGATTCAGTTATACGTTATTTATTGAATACTTTAGACCATTGTTTTTAATTACATTTCAGAAACACTGCACAAGCAAAGTGCAGTCCAGAATTTTGGAGCTGTACGTTAAAATTGTGAAAGATGGAAGGAAGGAGACAGAGAGGAAGACCGAGAATGGCATTCTGTGACCAAATAAAAAGAAAGGTTAATGTGAGCAGTTACAGGGAGGTCAAGGAGTTGGCTATGGACCGTGAGGAGTGGAGGAGGCTACACCGACAAGAGCATGGCTCTTAAATAAAATGAATGAATGACGTTAAAATTGTATGGCGGTACAATTTTATCAAAGAATAATAATTTTGTCGAAACGAATTTTAAGCAATCTAAATTATATGGAAAACAGACAGTATAACAAACATAATTAGACCAAACAAACTTCTGCCCAAAGAATACGTCTGTGTAATAATGATTCTAATAATAGGTTTTCGGACAAACGATACTTCTGCTGTAACACATTTATATGTTGCAAATTTATACCAAAACTGTCATCGCACTAATGAAAAAAAGTCGAACCGTTTTCGGAGTAACGAAATTCGGAAAAAAGAAATTCGGGTTTGTGCTATGTTACCCGTTCGGTCAAATATTCTAAGAACGCATTTGTTAACCTTCAAACGTGTGTCTTGTGATAGGCGATTAACACACTGCACCGCGCCAAACGAAATATTAATCTTCATATATTCTTAAATCTTTGTAATGAAGTTGAATTTTATCTTCGGTGTCTTTTTATTTGAGTAAACAAAAACCAAATAGACAGTATAACTGCAGCGCCCTGAAGTAGGTTCTGTATTATTAACCATTCTTGTCAAAGAAGGATCTCACCTACATGTACAATCACTACAGCGATCAACTACGAAGCGAGTACTTTAAGTGCTGCCCCCGCACAGATTAAACCGCACGTTGACGCAGATCTGCGTCTCCTGCGGTGGCGGAGGCTACCGCGCGCGTGTTCCGAGTCCCGCGCACCGTGTCGCAAGGCGCGGTGCAATGTGTTAATCGCCTTACATACAAGCAATCGGCAACTAGAAGCGAATATCCATATTGTATTGTCATACAATTGCCGCGATCGGCGACAGTGTTCGACAGTCGCAACCGGCGACTTCGTCCGGTTGCCACAACCAGCGACTGTGTCGATTTCAAATTCTTTGCTTCTAGTTGCCGGTTGTTCGTATACAACACAAGACACACATTTGCACGGCGCTTACCAGAAATTAATTAATATAATTCCAAGCTATGTAAAGTTTAACTGAGTATATGAGCGCCAGCTAGTTGGATAAATATAGGTATGTTTATTTACCTATTCCACGTTTCTTCTCATACAATTTTTATTAGTAGAGGTCGCAAATATCAAATTGTATATCTAGGCCAAGTGAATCATACAACACAGCAACAAAATGACAACAACTTTTACAGTAAACAACAAACAATGAAAAACATTGACCCAGTGTATCTGTATTTGAGTAGTCAGAGATTTCGAAAATTAAGTTATTTGTTTAGAGCATATAGGACGGGAGGCGCTATTAGCGTTATTTCTCGAACAAAATTTTCTGCCACATATGTATATTTTATGGAGTACTTGACGCGGTGAATTCGATAATGGAAATGAAAAAACATCGATTTGGAAGTACTATTTATTGTGCGATGGATTTTTTTTTGCTTGTACCTTGACAGAGGGGACTGCGAGTCGATGATGCCTCCAGTCCTATATGCTCTAAGGTTATTTGTTACGCAAGGCTGCAAAGTTGTTGTTTGACGCGAGTGCTTGTATTGAAACCTGAGCAAGCGAAGGAGCCTAAGATTAAAGAGACAAAAATAGAATCCTGAGCGTAGTAGAGCTTTGCTGCCGAGCGAAACACACAATTTTTTCACCTCACTACAGGCGGCGAGGAAAATGGTAGATGAAAAAAAAAACAGTTCAACTATAACAAATCAGTTATAATAAACAGAATTAGTTATCATTGTCAATTTAATGTCAACAATAATAAGAATAAAATATACCAATGGATTTGTAACGACAAATCGCGTAGCTGCACGTATCATTGTTTCTTTTTTTTCATCGAAATGTTAGGTGGTGTACACAGTCCATCGTCAAGTTCGAATTTCAAAAACCTTTTCCACGCTAGCTTAGGTTACCTTTAGCAATAGGCTCAACTCATACTGGCGCAGAGTAGAAGCGTCGCGACGCGTCTTGTTTTTCGACTATAATATATTCATCTCTATTTTCCCATTATTAAGGCACAAATTTATGTTATGCAAATATGGAAACGGGCGTCGTGGATGCAGTCAAGCGGCTTCGCGCGTCACTTGTCAGGTGTCAGCGGCGTCTGTCGGCGACCACACAGTGATCCGGGCGCACTGATGCGAGCGTTTGTCGCGCAGCGACGCGTGTCGCCAAGCGTTGTAGTTGAAAACCAGGCCACGACGCGACGCTACGACTGTGCGCCAGTGTGAGTTGAGCCTTAGAGGATGGAAAAAATAAAATAAAGTCTAATTTATATACGTCAATCATTGACTTACAATTAAAAACTCAATGACGTCAATATAAAATGTCATTTGGTTTTCGTAGTCTAAGCGCCCGTGCACACAACACGAAATTCGTGTCGTGTCCACACAGGGTCAGGCTTTAGCATGCTCCGGGCGGCGTCGTGGTGAATGTTCACTGATCCCAGCCGACTCAACCGGCGAGAGGGAAACAAGGTGTGGTTTTAGTGGGGTAGGCCTTCCAGTGTGGAGGGAGAGTCCCCACATAACCCCTGAATCTCCCTGGGCTCAGGGGTATCCATAAAGATTTCCCCCCGTCAAAAAAAAAAACTTTAAAAAAATTACTTTTGTGGGGAAGGACATAAAATATTACGTCTCGGGTTTAACCAACATACCTACCTTCAGTAAGTTGGCTCTGTACTTACAAAAATATACCTATTCAGCCCAGGGAATGTAATTGGTTTTTTATAAAAAAAAACTCACAGTCGCTTAATTGAATAAACAAAACCGTAAATAACTAAACTAAATATACTCCCCGACACATAATTCGCGCCACCTCGCATTTTTGTCGTAAAGGGCTAGAATACAAATAGTGTTATCATCGAAGAAAAAGTTTTCCCTCGGCTTTGCAAATCCAAATTCCCAACAAGGCCTTAGGAAAAGAAGTTTAGTATGCTAGTTTCAAATTTGTGTAATAGTTTTTGATCAATCAAACATTGTTTAAGCTTAAGGCACTTAATACTGAAAATGCGTGGTGGCTCGAATTATGTGCCCGGAAGTGTATATAACGCGAATGAAGTCAGTTTGTTTCAAATCATGTAAGGAATTACATATAGTAAACCCACGAGACGCGCTTTATAACTTAGAGTAGGTATCTAAGTATCAAAAAGTAGAAAGAAATGATAGAGTACTTTTCAGCATGTATCACAAGACTAAACGTTGTTTTATTATAATAAAAGAATTCGTTATTTACTAACTAGAAAAGTTAATGCTAATTAAAAAAATGTAGATATACCTAGTTAATTACTTAACAAAATATTTAACCAAATTATAACACAACATGCAAAGTGCAAGGTTATAAATTCTTATATAAATATTTTTGACACATTCAAAGTTTCGAAAGTATTAGAGGACGTTTTGTAGTTTTTCTCAGTTTTTATTTTAAAGTAGTTAAATTCGTCCTTCGTTTAATAGGCCACACTGCCAGATTTTAGATTTTATATAAATAAAAAAATTCAATCATTTTATTTTTAGACATTTTTTCTCGGGAAATCGTTATATTACGGTGGCCATTTTGAAATTCCACGTACCACACCACATAGTGAGCATAATTGTCTATAAGTGTAATATCCACGGACATATTAATATCATTGACACCACAGATACTTCAATCGTTTTTGTATGTCTATTTGGTGGGTGGGTGGGGTGGAAATATTTTGTATAAATTTATTGGTATATTTACGTCAATGATCTATAAGATATACATATATATATATATATATATATTGGCAATGATTTATGCCATAAACTATATTTTAAATTCTAACTTTAGTAATTCTAAGTATTTGATTTTGTCCGATTCTTTGAGTGCATTGTTGTTATTGAAGAATCAAAGAAAGATCATTGATAACCGTGTTAATTACTTCATTTACTACTTAAGAAACCTAGTTAAGGAATTGTGCAATAAAGGTTTCACTATAGAGTTCTGTTGGGTACCGGGACATTCCGGTATAATTGGAAATGAACTAGTCGATACCCTAGCAAAATCGACAGAAAATGTAGACTATTGTGATTTTAAAGTTCCTCATTCAGACTTGGTTTTATGCCTTAAGGAAAATATGATCAAAAGATGGTGTCTCACTCTAAATTTTACAAGAGAAGTTAAAGGAAAGTGTCTTGTGGAGATAGTCCTGGTGCCTTCAACCAAGGCTTGATTTGAGAGATATCCCGCATATATCTATAGGTAGAGATTTAACGACTCTAACAGACTTCGCATAGGTAAGTAGGCATTGTAAGATCTCTGCACATTTATTTGGGTTAAAGTTAAATACTAACTCGTTATGTATACATATTGTTCCCATAATTAGTGTGACCAATTCATTGTGAATCATTTGTTTTTTGACTGCCCACAATTTTCTTTACAACATCTGTTACTTATTTATTTAACTCAAGACATTCTCGAATATAAAACAATTCCCAGTACTGTACAGGAGCTTTTAAAGCACAAAAGTTTATATAATGTAATATTTGAATTTATAAATACCACTTTTAAAATAGTGTAAGTTGTTTATAATTAATTTCTTTTTTTTTAACTTTCATACTGCAGTAGTTAGTTTTATTTTTTTAATTACATTTAAAACTCTATAATAATTGTAATACTTCATGTTTTTTTTGAATTTAATCAGGCTTTGCCAAAGCCTTAATAAATTTTAAAAAAAAGAAGTAAGTCAATGTCAAACTCGTGTCGCGTTTATCGTTCATATTTATTTTATTAGAAAGTTGTACATCTAGTTTTATAGTTGAATTGTTTAAATTAAAACATAAAGTGGTGAAAATGTGTATAGTATAATGAATACTAATAATGCTTAATTACGAAGTGAAGTTTTTTACTTGCGACGAAAACCTTCATTTGAAAAACGGCGACTTTAAAAGTTTTAAGTAGGTTGTGCTAACACTTTTGTTTACTTATACGATGCCATGTCAGTGAGTGCTTTAAATCTGGTTTTCTTGAATTTTGCAGGTATGAGACGAAGAAAAAAGTGGACGAATCTGTATACGACATTGGGAAAAAGAATTTCCATGAGCGTAGAGGCGGGCAGTGGCGGTCTTTACGCCCCAAACAACTACGCCAACTCGAATCGAAACTACGCGACCTTAGTGTCGTTTTCTGCAACTGGACGAACGATTCTCTCATCACGATAATGTTCTCGTCAGGTGCCATAGCTTACCTCACTATTAAGCCTGAAACTTTGGATGTAACTCAAATATTATTTGATAGGTACTGTGTGGGAAGATTGTCAAGCCAAGCAGTGTCTAGTGGTAAGTTGAGTTGTAAGAAAGCAAAATTGTGTAGCATTTTACTTTTGGAGTCAATTCACATTGAGTTGAAATTTTGTAAACAAATTGGTTTATCATTGTTCACCATAATAAATAGTCTTTTATATTGCAGTTGTTTTTAGCAAGACTCACCTATTGTTACTCCATGGAGACCGCACTGCCACATTGATCACCTTTGGAAAAACAAACTGCAACCAACCTTGCCGTATTACTGATAGGGATCCACACTTGCAAGTAAAGAAGGCTCTGGTTTTCCATTATAAAAAATGCATGTTTGCAATTTTAAAACAAGCTAAACCCATAGCTTACAGTCCTTTTCATTTATTAGGTTACTTACCAAATTGTAAAAAGATGCAACCTGCTTTTTATCTTCAAGTAAAGCCTAGTCCTGTCCACTTGCACTATACTTAAGTATGTCTTAAACCAATGCTTGCAATGCAAAAGACACTCTTAATACACTGTTAAAAGTTTCTTATCAATTTAAGCATTGGTTTAACAATACATATTTAAGATTAGTGCGATTAGATGTAAATCTTGTTCTAGTAATTTAAAATACTAAGAACTAAATAATAATTTTCAATAAACTTGCTAATTTTATTTACACAAAAACATTGCAGCCATATGACCTAGTATGGTATGGTGTAACAGGCTGTGGAACGCAACTCGACATCCTGGCGCTTATTTTGCGTGTAACCATATCACATTTAATCATTTATAAAACAATCGTTTATATTATATAAACCTCACTCAAAAATGTGTCACTTTAAGTTTTACTTTAGCATTTTGTATTTAAAAACAAATTTTTCTTAGTTTATAGAGCTAGGAGGTGGAGTCCGGAGAGCAGAAAGGCATGTCTTTTCATCTGAGACCAGTACAGGAGTAAGAGTGCTCATGTGGGCTGCTACCTGTGCAGAACCAGCACCATGGAGTCCTGTTTTAGAAGATCTTGCCAATATGCATTTATATCAGATACACGGGTATGTTTTTTATCATCATTTTGAATAGTAAGAGACAGTAAGTGTAGAATAAGGTGAATTATAAAACAATTTTACTCAAGAGCTACTTAATAAAATGTCCAACTGCTATGGCACTCGGAGGGAAAGTACTTTAAATGTTGTGGATAGGAGATTTTACTTCCTGACATTCTTTTCTAAAGTACATATGTAATACTGCATTCAAAGACTTGAAAAGTTGCTCATCTCATCTGAAAATCAAACCCACGAAATGTGAGAGAAAATTTAGTGTGTGCTTATAATGTCAATCAAAAGGGACAACTTTAAGGATTCATTCCTTTAAGTATTAATTGCTTTTTCCTTTTTCCTTTTTTTCCTTTAAGTATTAATTGCTTTAATTAATTGCTTCATGAAGCAAAATATCTTATCTACAATATCTATAGTACTTTCCCTTCGTGTCCCATAGCCGTATAACTAACTTCTTGTATGTGCATAGCTACCCGGTGTTACCATTTGAAAGATTTCCATTTTGTAGTATGATATGAAGCTCTTGAAAATCTGTATGTAAAACTATTTTATAAATCTGGTCTGTTATAGTTTCTATGTTATACTAAATAATTTCTCATTTATTTGTAGGCAACAAGTTACTCTGATAGCATATCATCAACTGGAGAATGATACTCTGTCCGCAGAACTATCATACAAATCAAACAGTGCTGTTCATATTGTAGAACAGTTAACTGGACATAAGGTAAGGGATGACAATTTGAACATTGTGTTTTCTATAAACTATCCTTATAAACTTATATATCGATGCGGAATGATATCGTGGTTGCGTAAGTTTTGAAGCGTGTAAGGTAAACGCGGAGAGATGCGCCTAGAATTTCAGTACACTATGTTTAAACATAAGCCTTTTACAAATAAAATACTCTCTTACTGTAAATAAAATTATACCTTTTTAGCAAATAAAGCTAAGTCTTCAACTTATCTATTAAAAAACCAAGTTCAAATCGTATTTTTAACGTCGTAAAACAGATTTTCTGTGTGGTCGAAATACGTCAAAACATCTATTATGGATAATGTGACCATTACTTTTTCCTCGGGACTGGACACCTTTAAATTTACTAATTATAGTTTTTAAAAATACAACACCATGTTTATGATAGTTACGAAATGTTTAATGATTAAAAAAATAAAAAACTAATGTTGTGTAGTCTGTATATTTTAAGCCTTCACGCCATTGTTTTTATTTTATTGTGTCCTATTTAGTCAAAGCATTCATCATTTGTAAGTTTTTTGGAGAGAAGCTTAAAAGCGGGACTTTCCCGCCAAAAGCGGGATGTACGGTTACTTATAGATCTCATTTTACCTTGACACTTAGGTAGTTACAATCATCATGTGATTTTAACCTAATTCTGTTAAATATGAAATCCAACTGTGGAATTAATATAACAAACAAATTGTCGTCTCATATAAAAGAAAGCACTAGTAGATTCTGGTGGTACAACATATGACTATAATACAATTATTTGGGGGACAGCGGGATACGAAACTTAAAAGCAAAACATTCCCGCTCTAAGTGGGACGTATGGTCACGTTATTTATGGGTCCACGTTACCTTGACACTTAGGTAGTTACAGTCGTCATGTGATTTTAACCTAATTCTGTTAAATATACAATTATGGAATTAATTTCTGACATAATATAACAACCAAATTGTAGTCTCATATAAAAGAAAGCACTAGTAAATTCTGGTGGTACAACATCACATGAACATGACTATTAGACAATTAACCATTGCTCATTTTCAACTTCAGACTGGTGTAACCTTAAACTGGCTGCTTTACGACATACCCGTCGAAGACCGAACAATAAAACTTTCAACCTTACGTGAAACATTGACGTCGGTGTCACTATCGGCGCCTGTCCGGATAGTACGGAGGTCTCCGTGTGATGCGCGCCTGTTGGCTGCGTGTATAGACGGTTCATTACATGTAGTGCATCATGTTGCTGGATTAACTCACTCTGTTAGAGCTGGATTTGTAAGTATTTTTCATTGAATTTCGTTTTCTATTAACCATGTTTCACTTACATCTTAGCTATACAATAATGTGAAAAACTATTGTTTTTATTTTATTTTATCGTTAAAAATACAGATCGCAACGGACATACGATGGGCTGGAGAACTTATAGTGGCTGCAGAGGAAGCAGGCCGACTGCAGTGTTACGATCGTGCGCTCTCCTTGCTCCACCACCATACTAAATGTCTTGATTTCACTACTTATTTACGGTGAGACTAAAAACTTAAGAAAGCTCTTTATGTGTGCTACTTACCTTACATTTGCCATGAGCATGCAAGTTTGGCAGCAACAGATCGATCTTAAATACAAGACGTAATGAATGGCTTCAGGATACCAAAATGAAAAAGCTGTTAAATATAGATAATTATTTGTTATGCAAGACTGTTCGACGCGAGTGCCTGTAATGAAACCATAGGAAACGAAGGATGCTAAGATTGGAAAAAGATTGAAAAACATTCAACTACGCGATTTGTCGCACATTATTTATGTAATATGAATCCGTTGGTATGTTTTATTCTTATTGACAATTGAGACCATAACTAACTTTGTTTATTAAAACTGATTTGTTCCAGTTCAACTGTTTTTCTTTCATCTATTATTTTACTCGCTATAGAGTGGTGAAAAGTTGTGTGTTTCGCTCGGCAGTAAAGTTGTTTTGCGTCTCGTGTCTTGAAACCCTCGCTACGCTCAGGATGCTATTTTGTTTACCACTCGCTTCCCTCGTTCAATTTTAGTCTCCTTCTCTTGCTCAAGTTTCAATACAAGCACTCGCGCAAATAACAACTTTGCAGTCTTGCATAACAAATAACTATTATTAATTTCTTCCAGGGACAATAGGCGCCTGCAACTTTTAACAAACAAAAACTCAAAAGCGGGTCCTTTGATCTTAGCTTCATTTAGTGGAGGACCACTTGCTTTACTGCGAATTATGCACCCTCGATTATTGACGGTAAGTATAAGTAAATAGAATATTAAAATTACGTAATATTGTTTATTAATCAAGCTATAGCTTGGATAATAATATATTATTATCCATATATTTAATCATTTGAACGCCTGCTGTCAAACCTTTAACTGAACTGCCTCCGTAGCATTCAGCTGCCATGTTGGTCTGACACGCATAGGTCCCGGTTTCGATTCTTGAACCGGGAGAAATACATATTTGTCTTGCCTACATTTTTTCTCTCGTGAGTTCGGGTGTAATTTGTGGTTGTCTATGTGTGTGTGTTCATGGCACCCGCGACTAGAGGTGGGCGTTTAAACGAAAAGCACTTAAAAAGTCTCCTTTTTAAAATAAGCACACTTTTCAATTTAAGCGTAAGCGTTAACAACGAGCTTATGTTTCAAGTCCCACCATCTATGTTTCCTAAACAAATTTATTCGTCAATGTGAATAATAATTTTATACATAAAAATAAAGCTCATATTTTACAAATAAACTTACTTATCTCAAAATCTTTTGTGGTCTAGTCTGTTTTGACGCTGTTTTCACTAACAATACAATGTTGCAAGTTTTTTTTTACATAAAAGGCAGACTTTTTAGACTTATACGTTTTTCTAAACGATTTTGTAAGCTTCAAACTAAAAAGCGTTTAAGTGAAAAGCGTTGCGAAAAGCACGCTTTTTTAAAAGAAGCTCAACGTTTTAACGTTTAAAAAATAAACAGTTTTTCCCATTTCTATCCGCGACACAGAGTTTCCCTAGTGCCGGGATAGCCTCGCAAAGAATGCACACACGCACGTGAGTGCATTATTTGAATTACTGAACTTTAGACAAATCATCATCTTACCATGTTGTACATGTTGATAACAGGCATGGACCCGTGCTGGGCGGACATCTAACACAGTGTCTCTGCTAAGGGCCCTCGACTGGGAAACAGAAGGAACAGAGGGCCTTTGGGTTGTTAACAGGCTAGTGTGTGACGCACTTAGATCCGGTCTACAGGCGAGTGGTAAGTCACTTTTGGTTCTAACTTGGAAATTGTACCCTACGTCATTTACGTAGCATCCAAATTTGCAAATCTAAAAATGATGCTTTGCAATGCTTTTTTTTATAATATCAAGTGACGGGACGAACAAGTTGTGCGCCTGATGGTAAGCTACACGCCTGTCCATAACACTTGCAGTGCCACTACTTTACAGTACTTTAAATCACAAAGATCTGAGGGGCACTGCCACTGCGCCTGTCACCCTGAGACATAAGTTGACAAGTCCCATGTGCCTGAAATTTCACCAGCACCCTTACTCTCTTAGCCTTCAAAACCGGAACACAGTAATGCTGACTTTACTGCTTGGGGGCAGAAATAGGTAAGGTGGCATTACTGTACTTCCCTGGACAAACTCTTTCACAAGGAGCTCTACTACTACTAATATAAAGCCCAGTCTCTAGCTGAGCGCACGACTTTTACTAAAATATTATTGTTGTGATTTAATTTTAAAATTTAAGTTTAACAATTTAATTTCACGTCACGACGGATTTTCCTATGAAATTGTAATTAATCGGTGTATATTCATGTGAACATGTCCATCGTAAAGTGACCATTTATATTTTCAGACATAGTCGCAGTTATTACCATTTCGTATTATGTAACTCCTATCCTCTCGAATTAAGAAAACTGTAGGAAATTTAAATTGTCCAACCACAAGAGTTCACATACTGACAAAATTATCTGTAAAATAATGGCGCGTTTACACTAGACCGACAAGGCGCCCGCGCTTGCGCGCCGAAGAATCTGCCCATTAAAAGCAAAGACTAGATTGACAGCCATAGTACGCTGCTGAACTCGACAGAGTCGACAAGGTGTTAATCACTGTGAGGCGATCGCTTTCGGCAAGTGACGGCCGACCAAACAAGTTTCAACGTTATGATTATGAATACAAAGATCGAACACACAGAAAAAATTTTTGTCGTCGACCCGGTGGGACTTGAACCCACGTCCATGCTGCACCGTGGCAATGCCTAACCATCTGAACCACGGGTCCAGTTACCGAGTCATCGAAATTCTCCTATGTGTTTTTGTTAAAGATCTTTGTACTGGCTTTCTAGGACATCTAGCTAGTGAGAGATTTTTGAATAATCTTCTCACCGCATCACTCACATCATCAATCACCGCAGCCGATACCTTTACAGGTATCACAACTGAAGCAGATGTCGCTTTTCGATCAAAAGTATTTATTGAGATTTGTCTGTGTGTTCGATCTTTGTATTCATAATCATAACATAACTAGTAGAGGTATTTCACAAAAAATCTCAATAAATACAAAATAACTACCGCGAGCCGGGAAATAGCTACTTACGCGGTCAGTTTGTTTAACGATTTGTTATGTACTCGTAAATGTGCATAAACTTACCTATATTTATGATTTTCCGATTTCACGTGTAAACAGCGCATTGATTGCGTCGCCTTTGTCAGACGAATTCGCTTGCCCAAGAAAAGTCGGCTCGCTGGTTATGTCGACTGCAATTCCTTCGACAAGACGAAGTAGACTGCCAAGGACGGCTGTCGACCCTGTGTAAACACACCATTAGTGGTGGCGTTATGGTTTACAGAACATTGTTAGTAGCTAGTAGTAATCAATTTGGTCGTTCGGTGTTTTGTATATAGTCAATTTGAATTTCCTACAGAATTCTTAACACGATGGAACAGTGGACACATCATATTGACTTATCTTGGTGTTAGGCGAAGCTGTCGCGCAAGCAGCTCTAGGCGCTTATTTGGCGCCGTCCGCGTCACATCGTCCACTAGCGCAACGCCTCGCGCCCGCAGTACACGATCTGGCCAGGAAGTTTTTCCATCACTTGCTCAGGTCATTGTTCCACTAAATCTTTTTAGAACACCAGGCCGCATTTACATCTATCCCGGTAACATACATGAATACTAAATAAATAAATACTTAAATAGGCTCGACCGTGTCGTATGTTGCAAGACAAAGGGATGTCTTTTTTTAATACTAACACAAGCCGTGTGAATGGTAGTAAGCGACACACTTGTCCCTAACAGTTGCAGTGCCACTCAGAGCTTTAAATCACGAAAATCTGAGGGGCATTGCCGATGCGCCCGGCACCCTGAGACATAAGTTGACAAGTAATTTCACCAGCACCCTTACCCTTCGAAACCGGAACACATTACTGCTTGGCGTCAGAAATGTCAGTCTAACGTGGTCAAGGCTCATTCGCATTAAGTGTTCACAGTGTTAAGTGGCTTAGAGGTAAATGTGGCCTAAGTCCAACAATGTAGAAAGCAATAAAATATAATATTATAAGTATATGTATATGTATATGGGTCCTACGTATAAGGGCCTTCCAAACTTTCAGTCTGTTATATTTTCAAAGATTTCCTTGTATTTCAAGGTTTCGTTGAATATGTTTGATTTTGTTTTAACGCTACCTTATAGATTATAATGAAATGAAGCATTTCCCACAAAAAGAGAAAATGATCAAATTGTTAGTTTAGCCCCTATACTTAGGACCCATCGATATTAGACATAATGTACTGGCAATTATTGCCATCTTACTCTCCTCGGTGAAATATAGACCAACATTGTTTGACATGTCATTTATTAATATCACTGTTAAGTTGTCAGCATTAATTTATTCACAAGCCTTTGAAACTTTGCGATTAAGTTAACTCTAATTAAGAAAGACGTAAGTAACCAGAAGTGGGTTTTGATCTGTAAATATTTACTTAGAAAATACATTACATTTTTTAAATTTGGAATTTTACTTTATGTGAATATCATATTTCGACCCCTCCTACGTAAAGTATCGTAAGTCGAAATTTCCAAGTTTACAGGGGTGCGTTTTTAAAGTTATGAATTCACTGAAATGA